TCATCGTTCAATTTTTTTATTATTCGTTCAAATTTATTTTCATCATTTGAACAAAATAAAACACATATACCTTTTTTTCCTAACTGATAAGCTATTTCATCTCCTAATTCATCACCTGTACCAATAATTAAAGCAACAAGCAGTGACATTTCGACAATTCAAGTAATCTAAAATTAGACATGATATATTGTATAATACTCGAATAAATTGTCTCTTCTCTGCTGTAGAGAATTCTTTTGAGAAGAAATGACTCTGAAAATTAATTTCTGTGGTTTATTTTATACACGAAGCCTTTCAAAAAGAGACATCGATTATATGCAACGAAAATTTGTCGTTACGTTTTGATTCTCAGACAATTGAGTTTTACTGACAATTCTATGGTTATAAAAGTACGAGTGATCTTATTGTAATAAAATTATGATAAAGAATGATAAAAAAAACGAACGAATAGATGACTGAGAAAAAATTCTTACAAACAAAGACTAATAAATTTTTCTCAGGCACAAAAATTGTTTTAATCAAGTGCATAGTGGTATATAGAGTACATCTCGCATGTCTACTTTATGTAATACTCAAGTAGGACCAGAATTGAAAATGAATAAAAATACGAGGAGAGCATATTTTTAGTTCTTTTTTATCGCAGTGACTACTGATGCATGAATCGCTCACTATTCATTTTGACGAAGAAATAAGTAAACAACCAAACAGAAGCACAAGAAGCCATATTTTTCTCTCATCATGCACAGAGTGAATGTTACCTGTAGTTAATAGACGAAGCGAAAAGAAAAGGAAGATGCATTAGTCATCTCTCTCACGCCAACGAAACACATGTTGTCAGTCTAATACGAGCATTTTTAGCAGGGCGATTTTTCTGTTTCACTCTATATCTAAGGATTGTCTATTGATATTGTCTTATGTCTAAAGAAAGATAACTGGATAAGAGTATGGACGTAGGTGTGCGATATTTCATTTAATTCATTGTTTAGATTATAGTCAACTTGATTATATCTTAATTATAGAAATGAAAATTGACGGTTATTGAGATCTTTATTCTAGAATTAGACCAATTTTTGTGATTCTAGGTTATTATCAATAGTAATAACGAAAATAGAAGATAATTATTATTCCATAAATTGAAAACTGAAAGATAAATTATCGAAACTATTTGTTTTGAAACATATGTGACAAATAATCAGTCACAGATGCCTGTTTTGGTTTTCTATTCTTACTCAATTGAATCGATGCAAAATTTCTATATCTATTCAATTTAATTATAAAAAAAAATAGTTTCTTATTTCAACTGTTTAGCTTCGAAACCAACGTAATACAAGAACATCACACCAAGTATTCCCAAAAACTATACTAAAATTTCAAAGAACACTAGATAAACTTTATAAATATACATACAGTTACGCTTTGAAAAAATATATCAGAACGCGTTTACATACGATTAGAGAGAGTTTTAGTCGCATTTCGACGCTACTCAACTTTGAGTAGCGTCTGGACACGTTTACTCATACTAACGCCACCTAACTATTAAAATTCTCGAAACACGCATTTAAAAGACACAGTAGCCGACGCTTCTACATGCGTTTTTGGCATACTTAGATAGCAAACGTATTAAAACGTCAATATTTTTGACAAAAAAAGCATTTAGGCCCGTCTAAAGTCAGTAACTTGTTCATATAGTTAATAATAAATGCAATCATTCATGAAAAAAAAGCTTACATTACTCATGCGCAGTCATCAGTTCTATTGAGGTTAGACACAGTTGTAACCGCAGAAATTATGTGTAATGTGCATTTTCTCGTATGTGGAAAAATAATCTCAAAATATAAAGAGAATTACAGACTGCCTTCCTTTATACTATATAAATGACCAATACCAAAAAAAAACAACTTTGTAACTTCTGTTATAGATTAGCTGATCTTGTATATTATGCACTTTATACAGAAATATGTTACTTAGTTGAAGTTATGAAATTCGCAGCTAACTCAAATCTGGAACTATGATTACATTTTCTTTCTCAAATCAATCATTTTATTACATATAAGTTGATGAATTGCTCTACGATCGAGCAATATATATTGTTTCCTGTATATTATATTTACAGATTCATCTAACTATTTAAGTAAAGATGATAGTGTCAATATAAAATTTGTATTGAATACACATCGTTCGTTTTCACGTACTCTATTTATTTCTTTCACATAGTCATTCGTCCGAATTGAATGTGAATCAGTGACAGAATTTGATATTTTAAATGTAATAAATATTCTTTTCTCTATTCTGTTCATTGTGCATAGAGATAAGAGAACGATCAAATATTATTTCACGTGTTTGCCTTGAAAACAAATTTCTTTCGATTAGTATCATCATCATCATGAAGCGAATAAAAAGACAAAAAAATAATATTATTGAAAATTATAGTGGAAATAAAAAACAAAAATTACAAAATCAAAATAATAATACAAATAAGTTAGTAATTTAAAATTTATTTTTATCATCTACGTAGTACTTTTCATTTGTTTCATTTAGATCAATTTTTGAAAATTTACCAAATGAAATTATCTACGAAATATTTGACTATCTTGATATCTATCAGGTTTATCATGGATTTTTTAATCTTAATCAACGATTTGATAATTATTTTATTAATTCAAATTTTCCTATTCAAATTGATATTTCATCAATGTCAAAATCAAATTTTGAACAGTATCATAAAGATATTATTCTACCAAATAAACATCGAATAAATTATCTTCGTGTATCAAATGTATTTACAGTTGATATTATTTTCTCACCACCACGTCTTATTTCAAAATTTCTTCAACTTGAAACATTAGTTTTTGATAATATCAATGCAAGATATCTTAATAATATTCTTCATCATTTAATTATCTTACCACAATTACATTCATTAACTATTAATCTAATTGATTATATTCAAAATTCAACTCATTTTTATCTTCAATTATTTCGTTTATCTAAATTAAAATATTGTAAAATTCAATTTGAATCAAATGATGATAAACAATTATTACCTCGATGTACTAATGAATTTAGTTCAATTGAATATTTTGTAATTAAAAATTGTTTTCAATTTCAATTATTAAATAATTTCTTATCTTATCTACCTCGACTTTGTCATTTATCAATTGATTATCTTAATGGAATTAATGATTTCAAGGATATAGAATTATATCCTTTATCATTAGAACATTTAAAATATGTTTCACTTGAACTTGACATAGTTTATTTTAATCGATTTGAACAATTAATTAAAAATTTTTTTTATCATGTTGAAATTTTACGTTTTACATCAAAATATGATTCAAGATATTTAGATGCAGAAATATGGGAAAATTTAATCGTATCTTATATGCCATATTTACGTATTTTTGATATTAATCATGATGGTTCTATACAACATAATCTTTCAAGATATCATAATTGGATTGATCAATTTAATTCTACATTTTGGAATGAAAAACAATGGTTTTTTACACATCAACATGATTGGCAAGATACTATTGGAAGTGGAATCTTTTATTCAACAAATCCATATCGGTAAAAACACAATTAATTTGTTTCTATATTGTCTATGTCTTTTATTTTGTAGAAGAAAAGATTATAAATTTTTTTGGGAATTAGATAAAAAATTTTGTTCAGATTATCAACAAACAAATTTTAGTTCAGTCAAACATATTCATGTTTCTGGTTTAGTAGCATCCAATA